TGTTGATTAGGCCTTTCTCAATCTATGTGCCCTGAGCAAGTATTGTATAAGGTTAGCTAGGTTTTCGTCCATAGTAACTTCATTTATGAATGAATCATAAATACAGAAGCAAACAGGGTTTCAAGAAGAGTTTTATTTTAAGGTGAGAAGGACTATTACAAGTCCTTTACCCTGCCTTTCAGAAACCATTCCTGAAATATTAGAATGCATCCTTTTAAAGTATTTGACATAAGAGAATTACAACCTTCTTTAACAAACACACTCTCAGCATGCTTTCTTGCAGTTGACCTAAATCTGCTCTTGTGCTTCTTCTTTGTCTGGTAATAGAGATGAAGAATATTTATATTATATTTTATTTTTTAATCTTTGTATAAAACCAGCTTCAGAACTGTGAAGGCCCATATCTTGAATAAATTACTTGCTTTCAAAGATACCATTTTTTTTAGTTCTCTAATCACGTGTGCAACTAACCTGTGGCCATCGTTCTATCTTTTAGTTAGACGTCCAGAATTGGGTAAGATCCATTGGCCTTAACTTTTATGTTCTTAAACTTACACTATGCTGCATTGCTCTTAATCAAAGCAAAAAACTAATAACACATTATTTCTTTTGAGTGGGGATATTATTGAGGTGTGCTGACAATATTGGAGTTTTGTATAAAGTTGGACTGTAGAAGAATGTTTGAAAATCAATAGTTTTATATGTTATAATTTAATTTTTCACTTCACACTTCTCAAATTATTCAGGGTATAATACTTTATTGTACTTTTAATAAACAGTTGCTATTACCTTTTCCAGGACATATAAAGTTCTGAGTGAAAGAACAAAGAAAATTTAATAGTAAAATGGTGTAAAAAAAGATGGGTTAAAATAAGACAGGAGGAGTGAGCTTGTTCTTTACCCATTGGCTAAAATGTCCTTTGTTGTTTCTTTCCCTTTAACATTTCTGAATTTTAGCACTGATATTTTAACTCTGTATAAGTATAGAACGGTAATTGAAAACAACTGTCTATATGTTTTTATTTACTCTACTTTGGCTTTATACAATTTACCAGCATATGTTTTACTAAATCCTTAAAATATTTTAGTCTAAAATCTATAGAAGATATGTATGATTTATGTTTACTTCATATATATATATATATCTTAAAGAATAATAAAATTATAACTGATTCAAATCTTAACATTTAGTTTAAGTAATCTAAACTTAATAAATTTTATCGTCCCTGGGTATTTTTGTATCTTAGGATAATTGGTTTTTTTTCTTATCAGTTCCATTTTACAAAAATAAATGTTATCTGGGCTCTTATAGGAAGAGCATGCTGCTTAAAATCAGGTGTTTAAAATTAAATTGCTGACTGCAAACCTTCTGAAAAAAATATATACATAGAAGGCTTAGGTTTCTGTGTCCAAGGATGGTGCTCTGGAGGCACATTTAGAAGTTAATTATGACTTGTTTGTCAAGGCCTGCCCAGTGTCCTGAGTGTTCAACTTTAAGAATGAAGTCATGCCCTGGCCGATGTGGCTCATTTGGTTGAGCATCGTCCCAAGAATGGAGAGGCCTATGGTTGGATTCCTGGTCAGGACACATGCCCAGGTTGGGGGCTCAATCCCCAGTAGGGGGCGTGCAGGAGGCAGCTGATAGATGGTTCTCTCTCATCCATGTTTCTCTCCCCCCCTCTCCCTTCTTGTCTCTCTAAAACCAATAAAAAACATATTAAAAAAAAATGAAGCCATATATCAGCCTATGTCAGGGGAACAAGGCACACGTTCTAGATAATCTTACAGTGCTCAGAAAGCTTGGTAATTACTAAGTTAAACTATCATATTACAGATTGTTTGAATGATCCACTAATAACCAAGTAATCACAACACTCTACATGAGAATCTGGGTTTAGTAACTCATGACTCTTTACAAAAATTATGCTTATATGGTAAATTTTTGCTACCTGTGGAGACATTTAAAATGTTTTGGTGGTTCTTGGAGTGGCATTTCGTGGAGTTTTGAGCTGAGACCTCAGTTATTAGAAAAATAATATACTTCTGGTTGGCTGCTTTAGAGGCAACAATGTTGATTGAGTAGAGTGAATGAATGAATGATATAAAACAGAAACAGAATTCAGTAGAAAAAATTGTGGCCTTTCCATTCTTTTTCTTCCAACAAAGTTATGACCTTAAAAAGAGATACCATACCTACTGATCCTTTTAAGTGAAAAGGAAAAGATATAAAATCCTTTTCAATATTTTGTTATTTTACTACTTCCACTGTGACTTTATCTTCAGGGTATACCCATATATTTCCACCAAAGATTTTTCTTATCAGTGGGCCCTGCCTTCTAGATTGTCCTTAAGTTTAGCTTAGTTGAATGTCCCGGGAAGCTGTCAGTTTGGTGTCTTTGCAGCTACCCTTGATTATTTTCTAATGACCACAGTTATCTTTTTAATAATGTGTCAATGTGATGACCAAGATTTGAGAAATTGATTATTATGAAGATTAAGAAAAACATTTGGAATCCACAGAGTTAATGAAATAAATTCTGATTACCTAAAATTAATACAAGAACTAGTGTAGTATCACAGTGAAAAGTTAACTTTCCTATTTAATATTTGAGAGTATTTTAATAGAATCTAAAAGCATTTAAGTTTCTACAAACCATTAATTTTGGCATTCTTTTCATTATAAATGTCATATGTTGAGAAAAATCAGTATTAAAATTTAGCTTCGAAGAATTCATGAAGAGAATTATAATGAAATCTTGATATATGATATACAAAAGACAAATCCCTAATCATTTCTTTTTATGCAAATGAATTTGATTTAGACATAATTCCCCAACATCACCATGAATTTCCATCTGTGTAACCCTGATGTTCTTAAGCAGTCTGCAGTTACCTCATGCTCTAGGCTATATTCACTCTGCCTGTATGGAAACTGTGACTGTCTTAACACTTCAAATGATGATATGAATAACAATTGTTTGTTGATTTTATTCTCTATCTCTCTGGATAACCTGCTGTCTGCAAAGGCTGAATAAGTGGCAGATAGCTTTTGTCATCTCTTATCCAAGCTGTACACTTGTAAGGAAGAGCAGGGATAATCGCCTCAATCTAATTAGGGGTTAAAAGAGGCCATGACTGTGATGTGGCAGTGAGACACCTTACTGTAGCAATCCTGTTTGCATTCGAAAAATAAGGTTGTCATATTGATTATTCAAATAGGCTTGTATTGGCTAAGACTCAATGCCTAGTATTGCAGCTGAAGCAGTTGAAGATCTCAGCTATTCACAGTAGACCTGTGCTATAGCATATATTATATTGTGGCTTGTTTGCTAATTTGGGGTTTTAAGAATGAAGACAGAGTTTAATCAGGTGATTTAAAAGTTAAACTGATTTTCAGAAATAAAATTTCCCTTCCACCTGTGATAGCAGAGATTATGTGAATTTTGAATAAATGAAGACCCAGTGTCATTTTAGGTCTCTCACTGAAGATATTATGTATAAATAGAAAAGCATTATTTAGAACCATTTTGGTCTTTTGATGATACATGTTTTGATGGTAAAGTAAAAAGGTAATTGACATTAGCCAAAAGGATGTAGCTTATAGGTAGAGGCTGATATTTGCCTTTCCTTCTCTTTTCCTGTTTCTCTCCCCACATCTCTTCAATCTGTTCTCCTTTTCCTCACTTGAATATTCTGGACTTCGGATATGTTCTTGGAACAGAAATATAATTATAGCAGCAAATAGAAACAAGTTTGAAAAATTCTTGTACAAATCTTTAATCACCCTCAAATGTCCTAGTTAACTGTAAGTCATGCTAACTTTCTATGCATGGTGGCTTATTTTTTGATGTACATATCAAATAGCTGTAGATACTTGATACTTTTTATGAAACTTCCATAATAGAAGCAATTTTAAAATGAAAAGTTAATGTAATAGTCTCCTACAGTAGTCCAGTTATTTGTCTTTTGCTTTCTCCTTTTGAGCATCATTATGGTTCATAGAGTTTTTATTCAGCATGTTTCAAGGAGTTATTATTTTGTTTCTCAAATTGTAGCAAGTTTGATCAGTAGGAACCTCTTCAGATTGGCTTCTGTGTCCTTTCTACATGGCCCTGTTAGTTTTAAAATGAATCTTTTCATTCTTGCCTTGTCTCAGATTGAACGTATTTTGTCCCAGAGTCTGAAATCAACCACTTATCCAAATAACTCTGGCTTTCTTTTAGTCAGGAATGGTATTTAGAAATCAAAATACGTTGGTAGTGTTGCTACAGGATGTCACTGCTTTACTTCAAAGGACTGTACTAGAAACATACTGTTTTGTTTAATCTAAAATGTGATCAGTTGTAATTTTATGTACTACTAAGAAAGAAAATATCACTGCCAATTAATTTTAAGGCACTCTCAAATGCAAGATATATCCTCATTATAGATATGTTAAAATAGAATACAAAATGTGCATCTTAGAATCAGTGAAATATAGTGTACTAAATCACAAGTTCATATTAATATTTTACACTGAAATTTAATATTACAGTATTTTTACTTAAGGTTTAACTTATACATGTACTTTTTCTCTTTCAGTGAAGATGTTCCTAATAACATTATGATAATTACTTACTTGCTATATTGTATGGTGTGAATGAAATGCTTTTAAAAATAATGTTCTTTAGTTTATAAAAAATTGATACAAAAAGTATAAATAGAACTTTAGCAGAGACTCCAGCACTAAATTAGAAAAATAAACCAGGACTTAAGTATGGCTTATTCTAGGAATACAAACGTAATTCAGTATCTGAAATTTGTGAATATAATTATATATAGTAATAGGTCAAAAGAGTTTTCTACCTTTCATTTAGTTTTGATAATATAATTTAGAGTTTAAAATCTAGACTATCATTAGATGGTTTTTAAAATATGAGGTAAGTTTTTCTCTAGGTATAATTTATGTACAGTAAAATACACAGATCTTATGTATGGAATTCAGTAATTTTTTTTCATGTCCATATACATTTGTATTTTTCAGAAAAAAGCAACTTATACTCTCAAAGATGCTAAATTAACGAGGACCATTAAGCTTCCAACACACTGAAAAGCAACATTATTTTGCATGTCCACAGAGTATACATTTGTCTTCACAAATGTGGCAAAGTGTACCCTAACAGTTAGGACGTTTTCACCAAATCATAGACATAGATATGGAAATCATCATCAAATTTGATGAAGTACACAGAGGGTTTGGCTTCCACTTGGTGAATGACTATGCCGATCTGTTTGGAGCCATCTTCTTTGGTATATTCCACATGTTTGCCTATCAGGCCATCTACAACTCCTCCTGTTTCCCTCTCTGCTGGAGGAGACTCACTGGACTCTGGCATGATACGGAGGTCTCCTTCTTTATAGTCATCTAGAAGCTGGTACATATACAAGACAGGATCTTTCTCATAGGTAATATAAAACCAGGCTTTCATGATTGGTGCTTGCGCTAAGACCATCCCTCTCCATTCATCCTTAGAACCATGCTCACCCTCAAACATATGTTCCACAGCTTTACCAATTATGGTATTTGCAAAGTTTGCATCAGTGACTTGAGATGATGCCACCCTGTCAGAAAGAATTTTAAGAGACAAAACTCTTTCATCTCTGTGAAGTTCCAGTCCATAGACACAGTCAATTCCATCATATTTCACCAGATAAAGAGAGGGATTTATAGGCACCTGATCCAGAATGGTTCCTTTCCACTGGGTGATGGGCTCATCACCTTCCTTCCATCCGTGTGAAATTCTGCAGCCCACGATATTCCTGCGGGGCTGGGATGGTCTGCCTCTCTGTTTCTTTTGGAAAGTTCTTTTCTTTGTCATGTTTGCAGACCCAGTGGCACGTTCCACTGGTGCCCTGGTTTGTATCCCTTCGGCTTGTGCTTTGGGGGTCTTCATGCCAAAGGCCTTGCCTGCCTGCCGTCCAAGTCCACCTCCTGAGATCACGGGCCTCACGCACCCAAGTTGGACTCCTCGCTTCTGCCTTTGCTGTGAGCCTGTGTGGAAGGAGAATTAGGGGGTGGCAAGTCGGAAGCTTGCAAGAGCTGGTTAGAGAAGATCCGTAGACAAGGAATGTATCTGGGAGCACGGCCGGGCTGTGTCTCCAGCACTGTGCTCCCAGGCCCTCTGCCTCCCGGTGGGCTACAGAGGCCCCTCTGCCACATTGGGATCCTACCAGCAGCTACTGTAGCAGCATTCTCCTCCCTTTTTCTCATACGAATAAGCTCTTAGTTTTTTGTCTGTAAAGAGGCCTCCCCTTCCTGCTATACACTGCACAGGCAGCCTTTCTTGCCTAGAAAAAGAGCCTAGGCTTCTCCTCCCCGTTCCAAAATTCATACCTGTGTCACCTGGAATTCAGTAAGTTTTAACAGATACATTCATTTGTGTAACCCACAGCCCATGCCTTTCAAGAATTTCCTTGTGCTCCTTGGCAGTCCATCCCTTCCCCCAGCCTCTAGAATCAACCACTGTTCCAATTTCATTTACAATAGCTTAGTTCTAGAACTTCGTATAAATGTTCTGGCTTCTTTTGCTCAGTATGTTTTTGAGATTTGTCCATGTCATCGTATGTATTAGTAGTTTGTTTGCTTTATTGGTGACTATAATTCCATTGTATGAATGTATCACATTTTGTTCTATTGAATATATTTGGGTTGTTTTTATTTTGGAACTATTATGAGTAAAGCTGCCATGGACTTTCTCATACAAGTCTTGGTGAAACATATGTTTTCATTTCTCTTGGGTAGATACCTATCAGAGAGATTCTGGCTTTTGAGACTGTTTTGAAGGACTATATGTTTTCATTTCTTTTGGGCAAATACCTGCAGTGGAATAGGTGGATTGCATGATAGGTGTATATTTAACTGCTAAGTGGTTTTGCACAGTTGTTGTAGTTTACATTTTCATAAACAGCATATGTACCTGCAAGAAGTTTCAGTTGTTGCACATCTTTGCCAACATTTGGTGTTATCAGGCCTTTGAATTCCAACTATTCTAATGGATTTGAAGTGCTATCTTGTGAATTGTAACTAGCATTTTTCTTATGACTAATGATGTTGAATAACTTTTATGTGTTTATTGGCCATTTGTATATTTTCCCTTGAAGAGTATTTGTTCAAGCCTTTTATCCATTTAAAAAAATATATTATTTAACTTTTTATTATTGAGTTGTTGGAATTTCTTATATATTCTGGGTTCATTTACATATTCTGGTTCCTTTATCGGATATGTCATGAATATTTTCTCCTAGTCTGTGGCTTGCACCTATTTATTTCTTAACAATGTTTTTAGATAAATAGTAGTTTTATAATTTAAAGTCCTATTTGTCAATTTTTGTTGTTGTTTAGTACCTGTACCTTTTTCTTACATGTAAAAGCTAGACTCACCTTATCAAGGTCCACAGAAACCCTTGTTGGTACTTCAGAATTGCATTGAATTTCAGCAGTGTTTTAGATCTGTTTGGTGGGAATTCATATCTGTAAGGTATTATATTTTACCATCCATGGACATGGTATACCTCTTTATTTAGGACTTTAAAAATGTATCAATAAAACAATATTTTTTTCTTTTATAACAGTTTGAAAATATTTTGTTGAATTTATGCCTATCTAGCTTATATTTATTGTATTTTATTGCTGTATCTTTGTCTTGTTTTGGATTTGAATGGGAATTCTGCTAATATTTTTTCATTGAGTATAATTGTATTCTTGGTTTTTGGTAGTTAACATTTCTTGTTTAGCAGGGTTTCCTTATAGTCCTAGTTTAATAAGCTATTTCAGAAATAATTTATTTACATAATTTTTATCAAAATATTTTCTATATCAAAATTATTTTATTGTTTTTCTCTATTAATCTAGGAATGTGGTAAATAATATTAACTGGTTTTCTATTATTAATCTGTCCCTGTATTTCTGAGATGAACTAACTTACTCATGATGTATGTTCCCAGAAGTGGAATTGCTGGATCATGCATTCAGTTATTTTTTTCTTGTTGTTGTTTTGTCAAAATATTAAAAACTCTCTCTCAAATAAAAATGTTTATGGAAATTTAAACAGAGCAAAAAATATTTATTTAGTATAATTGAAAAACATCAAGAATTAAAGTGCCTAATTTCTTTTTTAAAAATTACGTTATATTCCTTTCTAAGTTTGGATCATTTTCCAGCACTTAATTCTTTGCAATTTCAGAGTTGTGAAATGTCTCTCAGAGTTCCTTTAAAGTGAAAGTTTTTGCTAATGTAACTTATCTGGGACATCTTTAGCCTGTCCTCCTTTATGCTGATAATTTCTCCTGCCCTCAGTTTCTCTGGCCTCTCACATGGTGGCCCTGTGGTCATATCCAGCCTCAGCTATGTCCTAATCACATCCAAGTTCAAGTCCAGTGTCATCACTTTTTTTTTGCAGTTTCATCTTAGGCAATCCCTCTTTTGATTATCCATTTTTAAGGGTAGACAGAGAGACAGTATAACTACACGTTTTGCTTTCTGAATGTGACCTTCATAACAGATACATACCAAACAATTGCCAACAGGCTCTGAAAGAATATTAGTTACTGGTTGATGCACATTTATTATTTATATAGTGATTGCTGATTCAACAGGCAGCAGAAAACTTTGTATGTCATGCAGTTAATAGTTAAAACTGTAGTAACTGAAAGTTGAACCACATTGTTGGGCTACAGGTATTATTTAACTAAACCATTATAATAGAAATTTGTGTATACTAGAACCATGCAAAGTAAGTTTCTCTCTCGAAACATCTGGTGGAAGACATTTTTTAAGCTAACCATGATCTCAGATTGAATAGAAATTCAGAGAGTTGAACCTGACATTTTGCAACTGCCTTTGCCTTATTGCCATTTGCAAATCTAGAAGAGGCTAAAGAGAGGCTAATCTACACTTTTGACAGATATACAAGGCTAGGGGGGCAAATATTTGAGTTCAAAGTTCACTGAGGCTGAAATTTTGATAATTCCCTTCCCAGCAATTTGGAGTGGGACCCTGAAGAAGCCAGTAAAATTTAACTAGAAATAATTAAGCCCTTGCAACTCCACTTTGAGCTATCTTATTTGCCTACAATAATCTCAGTTCCTAAAATTGGATTAAAGTGATTTCAGATTAATGGACCCTCCTCCCCTTAAGTACCGGAAGAAGATATTATACATCCAATTATTTCCACAGATGATTTTGCAAAAAAAATATGTAGCTCAGAATCTGAGATAATTAGGTTAATGTAGAGAGACCTGACAACATAAAGGAGACCAGAAGAAGCAACCAGTAATAGACCAGACAAGTGATGGCTCCAGATATTGGTATTACTAGGTATTATTTAGCTGAGGAGTCCAGCTTCCAGTTGAAAATCCCTGTTGTATGGACTTAATGTGTCCCCCCAAAACCCATTTGTTGAAGCCCCAATCCCCAGTGTGATAGCATATGGAAGTTGGAGCATTTGAAAGATAGGTAGATTTACATGAAGTCAAAAGGCTAGAGCCCCCGTGATAGAATTAGTGCCTTTATATGAGGAAGAGACCAGAGCTTTCACTTTCTTTGCCATGTGAGGACACAGACAGAAGATGGCCATCTGTGAACCAGGAAGCAGGATATCACCAGACATCAAATCTGCCAGTACCTTTTATAAAAATTATTATTGAGGTATAATTGACATATAATGTTACATTAGTTTCAGGTGTACAACATGATGATTTTATATTTGGATACACTAACAGATCATCACCACAATAAGTCTAGTTAATTACCATCTGTCACCATACAAAGTTACAAAAAATTTTTTTTCTTGTGATGAGAACTTTTAAGGTTTCTTTTCTTTTTTAAATATATCTTTACTGATCTCAAAGAGAAGAAAGGACAGGGAGAGAGAGAGATAGAAATATCAATGATGAGAGAGTCACTCATCGGCTGCCTCCTGCACGCCCCCCCTACTGGGGATCAAGCTCACAACCTGGGCATGTGCCCGGACTGGGAATCGAACCCCAATCCCCTGGATCCTGGGTCGACGCTCAGTCGCTGAACCACGCCTGGCCGGGCAAGGTTTATTTTCTTAACTTTCAAATATGCAGCACAATATTTTTCACTATAGTCACCATGCTGTACGTTACATCTTCTTGAGTTATTTATTTTATAACTGGAAGTTTGTACCTCCTGACCTCCTTCATCCATTCCACCCACCTCCTCTATCATGTGGATGTTGTTACGCTTGATGTTGTCCCAAAGGTTCTTAGACTTTCCTCATTTCTTTTAATTCTCTTTTCTTTTTGATGCTCTGCTTGGGTGCTTACTGCTATCTTGTTCTCTAATTCACTGATTTGATCCTCTGTTTTATCTAACCTGCTGTTTATTCTTCATTTCAGATATTGTATTCATCTGACTGGTTGTTGTTGTTTTTTTATGATTTCTATTTCATTTCTAATGCTTACTGTCTCTTTGTTTAAATTTTCACTGAGATCATCCATTCTTCCCCTAAGGTGATTGCTTTCATTCCATCCATTTCATTTAATTCATTTGGGGGGAATTTGTCTTGTTCTTTGTTTGGGCATTTTTCTTTGTCTCCTCATTTTATCTCTGTGTATTAGGTAGATCTCCTTTTACTCCCAAACTTGTTATACTGGCTTTATGATGAAAGCGTCTTATTGAACTCAGTGGCAAAATCTTGCAGATCACTTGAGCTTCATGCTCCAGGAATGTTTTTTGTGGGTTATATGCACACCATGTTATAGTTTTATCTTGAATGCTCTTGCCCTTTCGTAGGTGGAGTTAACCTTTCAGGCTGGGTGACTATAAGGGTAAACCTCCATCACCATGTATGAGACTCTGTTCAGATG